CTTTCTTAGAGGGTCATTTAAAGATATTCATGAAAGATCCGTCACTGAACATCATTGTACCGGGCACAGTAACAGAACCCCATTAGATGGGGGTCAGGTGATGGAGGGACATACCCAGCCTGACCTGTAATAGTTTTAAAGCTTACAAGAAAGAATTAGAACATGACATGGTCATCAGGTGAGATCAGCAAGTCTGTTATCCAATCCTGGTCCAGGTTAAGTCCGTTTGGTGGTTTCAGGTGTCTGGTGCTCCACCTTGGGAAAGTCTTTGGTAATCCGGGATCGCTGGAGAGCTATTGCTCGGTCATGGTTTCTCTGGCGGGCAGGCCCCGCAGCTCGATCGGCCGCCCGGCGTTCTTGGCGTTCTGCTGAGAAACAAAGTGAGTGTAGCTCTTGTCCGCCAGCAGCGACGAGGAAGAGGCCTCCGACTTCCAGCGGCTCCCGCCTTCCGCTGCGCTCCCGGGCGGCCTGCGTTTTTCAGAGAGCAACGGAAGTAAGGTACAGAGCGTAATGAAGTGAAGGAGGAGAGCAGAGCGAAGCGCCCCCAACACCTGAGAGCAGCGGATAGCCAGAGGAAGGGCAGGCAGGAGGAAGAGGAGGCAGCAATCACCGCTTAATCATCTCAGGAAGGTTCATGATCGAGATTAGATCCATCACAGAAAATGACCAAAGACTCATGAGTAACAAAAAAATCAAACGGGGGGGCGGGGGTGCAGGATTCAAAGAATTCAGATTAACCTTTTGATATACAGGGGTCATTGAAAGACTAGACTTCCAGCCCAAGTTTAGCAGTTTCAGATCAGTAACCTGGACAATAACACTATGCCTAACTAAGTAATGTTTAGTTTGGTTTTCAATGGCATATCAGGCTCCTATTTTGTACATTTTGAGCAATGCCATGCTCAGGGGTTTTTATTTTTATAGGCTGATGGGTGTAATTGCATCAGACAATTACACTAACAGGAGGCACACTGCCATCTTCAGGCTGCACTGGTATATGCACCTAAAGAGGTACGTGAACAAACCTCCAGCCTGCATGTAATCACTATGATTGGTAGTCATGATTATCACATGATTGGCCATTAGTTCTGACTTGAGCAGTCAGAAACGGCACAGTTCCACAACTAGGTGCATGCACCCCCTGCACACTCCTAGCTTTCAAATGGGGAAAGCAGATTAATGTTCCCTTGGCACAGGAGCCCACATCTGTGAACAATAATCAGGAAATTGTAAAAAGTCAGAGACATAAGCGACCAGAATAGAAAAAAAAAAAAAATTAAAAATCTTTAAATCAAGTTCTTTTCCTGATCCTGTTGCACTGACATGTGCGCTCATGTGACACTCTGGTGGTAAGAGTCGAGGAGCCTCCTCAAAGCACAAGGGCGTCAATTGGCCATAGCTCAATGCTCCCAATTATTGCTGCGCTTATAGTCACCAAATGTGTTTATTTTCTCAATTTACTAAAGTTTTTATCATACAGAATTTACAATATATGCGACACATTAGCTACTTTTGTGGTATTTGTATGTAAAAAATGTGCAACAATTATCACACTGAATTTTAAAGATATTGTTGGCTTCGGGTTTGGTGTTAAATGAAAAGTTATATACGGAGGAATAGAGGCTTTCAACATTTAATGCGCAGTGCATGAAAAATGCCAATTCCACATCCATGAGATATTGATTTTGTGACGTGATGTGGTTTTGGGAGCCCTCAGGTCTCATTCTATTGTGAATCACACTTCACTAAGGAACCACAAACTTCCGACGTACTAATTGAG